CAACATCACCGCCACGCCGAGACCCTTCTCTATCCGACAGCCTCTGGGCACTTACTCCATGCATAACGGAGGGCAACTATGGTTAGTTACTCGTGTTGGGGAGTACTGTTTCGCAATTGCTGGCCTACTCCGGACCCGAGCTAAGGCTCGCACCCAGATTCTAACAAAATTGATAGCAGGGCCACGGCAGCTGTGGATGGAGGGATGATCCACTATCCTAAACCAGGGGTGTAGCCCATGTCTGGGATCATATGCAACCAGGGTGGCCATTTCATGGCCGGACAGATGGCAAAAGCATTTTCTTCAGCATAAACCGCATGCCATCTGCGTGTTCCGGGCATTTTGACCAGCCTCCGAAGGGCAGTGCAGTCCAAGAAAGCCCTACTTCCAATATACTTGAGAGCAGGCGGAATGGCAAGCTCAACAAGGGCGGCACAGTTCATAAAGGCTTTGACTCGGATTGTATGGAGGGTTGTCGGTAGGAAGACTTCCCGAAGGCTAGTGCAGTAGCCAAAAGTGAATTCCGGAATTTCTTCAATCATGGTGTTACGGAGGAACACTGTTAAGCAGTCGACAACTGTCACAAGCGTGCGCTCCTATGGCTACAAAGTGCTTTGGGAGAACAAGCGTGTAGATGCCTGTAGAGCTGAGGCAGCCCGGAGCTAGCTCTCTGGTCCTGTCTTGCTGGGTTAACTCGTTCAATTCAGATCGGGGGGATGGAACCTCATTCACGGTGACCTCTGCAAGGTTGATGCACCCTTGGAAGAGGTATTGCCCGAAATTGGTTTCTCCGCTGAACACGTTTACAGCTCCACCCGATGCATACACACGCTGCAAGGAACAGCATTCCGAAAAGGCTTTGTAACCAAAATCGCGACAACCCGGAGCCAAGACACTATTTAGGAGCTTGCAGTCCCGGAAGGCATTATCTGCAATGCCTACCACTGTGGCCGGCAGTTTGACAATGCGGAGTTGCCGGCAATCTTGCCACGCTTCTGCACCTATGAGCCTGATCCCTGACTCGACGCTAACGTGTCGCAAGCGTGGCACACCTGCAAAGGCCCATTCTGGGACAGTTTCTTCTGAGTTCATTGGGACATGAACAGCTGAGGGGACTTGATCAACAGGATAACCACCGAGCTGTTCTTGTTCTGGCAGGGTAACACTACAGTCCCTGAAGACAATGGTGTATTCTCTACCCTGCTGCAACTTATCCCAAATTGGGTCCTCTAGGTAGGTTTGCGTGGTGGTGTGTAAAAAGTCAATGACGCACCAAAAACTTGGAGGTCAGTGACCGAGGCCAGATAATCCATAACCTGGTCTTCTAAATCTGTAAATCGGTCGAACTTGGCGACACTGAAAGAGACCTTAAAGGTTACCCCCGAAAGCGTAGTCAGCAACAGGGGGCATTCCATGACTGGCTCCTTTTCGATGGGAGTGCTATTCATGGATGAACTGTCAAGCACTTTTTGCGGCAGGCTATTTGGTATCATTGCGCGAGCCACTGGTGTCCGGTCTGCACATGGGCTGTTCCTACGGCCGGGGCTGTTTCCTTAAGACAGATGCTAAGGCACCTACCTTGAGCCTCTCATGGCCTGGCATAATGCTAAGGGTACACATGATTTAGCTTCTAGTCAGAGCGGTTGGCATGGCAATATTCATGGCAGTGTAGCTCCGTAAAGTCTACCATGGACTGACATGATATTGGCAATATTCGTGGCTGAGTTCCTCGTCAAAGGCATCAGAATCTGGTCCTTCAGCGGGGAGCAGTTCCAGCCAATGAGGTTTTTCAAATTTGTCGCACATAAAAAAAGCATTGTGCTCTGCCTGCACCCACTGTTCAACGTCTCCCCAATCTAGGAGGGTAAACCGTTGCAGCTGCTCGCACCCGCAGAAGGCACGGTTGCCTATGTCCCTGAGTTCTGTCGGGATGACAACTTCCTGCAGCACAACACAATTAAGGAAGGCTTCTTTTCCGATCTGTATGAGGCGAGGTGGAAGCCATATGCACTGCAACGCTACACAGTGAGCAAAGGTGGAAGAGAGCAGGGCTGTGATCTCTGTGCTCATGAGGTTGACTTCCACTAGACTTTTGCAATTTTCACAGGCCCTCGGCCCGATGTTGTGAAAGTCACGCGGCAAGCACAGATGCTCAATGCCTGCTCCACAGAATGCGCCTTCAGGCAGTGCTCGTGGTTTATTCGTACGATTCGTGTTAAAGGTGACAGTTGCAAGCGTGAGGCAACTCTCACAGGCATATCTGCCAAGCTGCGCACCTGGTGCCAGGACGCTGCTGTCCTCTGTTTCGCACTTGACCCCAACGCTGCCTAGGGAACAGCACTCAGCAAACACCCTTTGTCCATAGTGGACACACCCTGGTGCAGCGACCTGACGCAGCACATAGCACCCCATGAAAGTCCCTTCCGCCAGACTGACGACCGAAGTTGGAAGCTTGACAATCTGTAATTGCTGGCAACTCTGCCAGGCCGCAATTCCTATATGTTGGATGCCAGTTGCCACTTCTACGTGTCGGATTGATGGTGCCGCGTAGAAAGCTCTGTCTGCAATTTCCCCTCTCGGATTGGCCGGGACACGAACAGCTTTGGGGTGGCTCTCCTTGCCGTCATTCTGGAACTGCCAGATGGAATGCTCCACCATGCAGGGACGAACAACAATTTGGAGCTGCGGTCGGTGCAAGAGCTCAGTGCGGAATGCCTCTGGCAGGGGTCGCTGCGTTTGGAGGTTGAGCAACTCAGCCAAAGACATCTAGCTCAGACACTGTCGGCAGAAAGAAGAGGATGTCATCTTCAAGCTCTGCTATGTCCTCATAGTGGGTGAGGTTTGCTTGCATCGTGAATTCCGTGCCAGCTACGGTAACCAACTCGAGGTTAACCTCAAAGCGATCTTGGGGGGGCGGCATTGCCATGTAGGTGCTTGGTTTGCTTGAGCCAAACAACTGTGGTGCAGGAGGTGTGTCCTTTGTAATGCCATAGTGGCAACTACGCCCCAACAGAGAAGGTGACTAAGATCACCCATCTCATGGCGGAGGTTGCGCGACACGGAGGCTGTTGTTGTATGGGAGGACTCCTGATGAGGACTACACTACTGCCACCACCCGTGGGACCACCCTGAGGGCGAAGGTGGGGAGGGAGGCTTGCTATGCCAGGAAGACCCTGCTGCAGTTGTGGAACTTCCTGCTTCAGTGCGGCGGACTTGTGAAAAATAACGTTCCTAGGATGCCTCGTAGTCGTCTAGTACCGTAGGTTACAATAAGTCCGTTGCTTCGCGTGTAGCAGGCGTTTGTGGCCTACGTGTGTAATTCATCGCTGTAGACGTCGGACCGTGTAGGATCGTGCTGTCCTAAGTAATTTCCATCTCGGTGTGTGGAGATTCGATAGAACTCGGAGTTTCTCTAGCGCTGATATATGGCACCTTTGGTGCCTGGAGAATTATGATGTTCTAGATGGTGTTTACTTGTGCTTTAGGACTTGGTCGTGGTGCTTGCGTTGCAGCATGATTGGTTTGCATGTTTTTGGAACTGACTTCCCAAGTTGGAAGATGACTTGAAGTTGATTTGAGAAGCCAACGTGCTCTTGTGCTTGAGATGTTTTTGGTTGGTGTTTGGTTTTGATGTTTTGGAGACATGTGAGATACCGTATGTAAAGTGGATAGTTTCGTTTGGAAGTGTTTAACGAAATAGTTGATGTATTTTTTGGCTTAAAAGGGCCTGGGACTGGGAACTAGCTTCGGCGCGGAAACTTCCGCCTGGCTTGTTTACCGTCGGTCGCCGTTCGGTGCTCTGTGCGAGGCGCAAAGAGAGCTTAGCTGTAGCCCGCGGGGCGACCAGAGATCAAATTAAAGAGAAGAAGAAAAAGGAGAATATATAAAGTGCGAACTATTATGTTTAAGTGCACAGTACTGGTACGCGTGCTCACTAGACGCTTCGGCGTTTTACATGGTAGCGGAGCACTTCGGTGCTCGTAGGAGAAGAGAGATCTAGGGACCTGAGACAGAAGAAGACGCGCGTAACGCGTAGCGTTCGGTTCGTCCGTTCGTGTGTGAGAAAAGTAACCAGTAAGCTGTGCACTTGTGGGAGAAAGGAAAACTTTCATTCTTCAAGCTTGAGTTGTGGAACGGAACAATCGCCATTTTCGCATCAGTTGCTTGAGAGAAGTGTGAAACTTTCCTTTGAAGCTTGAGTTGTGGAGCGTAACAAGCACCATTCTTGAGTTGCAGTCACGCGTGTGCTTTTGAGCTTGTGAGAAGAGTTAGACATTCTTTTCGAGCTTGAGATTGTGGAACAAAGAAACTCCTTTTTCTTTGAGTTTTGGGACGAACGTTCCAGTGACAGTTGAAAATCAAAGATGACGGATGATCTTCGAGTTGATTTTTCTTCGCTGAATCCGCCTCCGGTGACAGGGGGTGGGAGCAGCCTGGATGGAGAGAGGCCATCCGCTCGAGCGCGGACTCGGCCGTTCGAGGATGATGAAGAATTGGTACGTGACCAACAACCTAGGAGCCAGCCTTGCCCGTATCCTTCCGGTAGTCCGCCTACAGTGCCTATGCCTGGTCTTCATGACGTTATGGATAGCTTGAGACAAGTTGGAACAGTGTTGCAACAATTGTCGGATCGTATGGACCGTTTGGAACAAAATCAACAAGCGGGAACTCATCAACAAGCAACTCAACCAGCAAATCAGCAACACCCAGGTGTATGTCATCAAGCTGGTGTGAACTCGCAAATTCCCCCAATGCCACGTCCAGCAGGTCCGTTAGGTTGTGGCTACACTGGAGTGGGGTCGTCGTTGGGGCCTGTGGGTGGACCGCTTGGTGTGGGCGTCACGCCCAGTGCAGGAAGGAGTATGGATACTAAGTGGATTCCGTCAATGCCGACGCCCTGTGTGAAGGAATGGTCCAGTAGAATGAAAGAAATTTCTGGATTTAGGGGATGGGCAGAAGCTTTCAGTTCTTGGTTGTCACTACTTCATGAAAGGTATGGGGAAGAACTCAGGGAGGCCATCAACAAGGTCAGTGAAATCCGGATTGACATGATGGTTGATGCAGATCAACACCTTCGTTCTCAGAGGCTGTTGCATTTGCTGGAACAAGCATTCCATAACTACCCTCGTGTTGAGAACTTGGTGAGGCAGTATGTTTTGCGAGTAGGCCAAGGATGCGCTTGTGGTTTCGAGGTTTTCCGTCTACTTCGGCAAGAGTTTTCGGTGCAGACCCGGAATGAAGCCATGAGTTACCGAAACAAGGTCTTGGAATGGAGTTCAAGTTCACGAAGTAATTTATTGGACATTGTCAGGATGTTTGAGGTTGAGGTTATGCAGTTTCATGGGATGCTGGATAGCACGGCCAATCCACATCTCATGAGCGATCTTCGGATTCGAGATGCGGACCTGTACTTGGTTCTTATGCGTAACTTGCCTGAAAGGGTCCAACTTCATTGTCAACTTCATGCTGGACAAACATTTTTGGACTTGAGACAATGTGTTGAAGATTACCATCATCGAACCAGGATCGTTTCGGACCATGGGAAGCTGGCCAAGTTGGACGTGGACCGCAAGGGCAAAGGTGGAAAGGATGGCAACAAAGGTGGAAAGGATGGCAACAAAGGTAGCGGAAAAGATGGCAAAGGTGGTTATGGCCAAGAATCTGGAAAAGGAAAGAAAGGAAAGGAAGGTAAGTCGGAGTCGAAAGGCAAGGGCAAGGGTGGTGGTCATGAAAAAGGTCAAGGTGATGCACGTCAAAGGTCGCCCGCTGGGAGCCCAGCTTCATCGTCAAAGAAGGGACCGTGTTGGTTTTGTGGAAAACCGGGACATGTGGCCGCAGAATGTTGGAAGAAGAAAGAAAAGAAATCTGACAAGACACGCAGTGTTGAGGGTTCGGATTCAGAGAATGGAGATTGTGGAGAATCGTCGGGATACGCTGAACCACTGATGGTGATTCATTCGTCGATTACAAGTACTGAGAGTAATTCGTCAGGGAATTCGAGTAGGATCCAAGCTGGGAATTCAGGTGCTTGTACTCGCGCCGGTGCGGCGTCGCGTGTTGCTGTGAGCCCAGAGCAGCTGTTGCGAGTGAATGCCAGTCAGGGTGTTAGGTGGCTAGTGGACTCTGGAGCCACATGTCATGCGGTATCTCGTAAGATGTTGAAGAAGTTCACAGTTCTCAAGCACTATAGGGGTGTGAATGCTTCACTAGTAAGTGCAAGTGGAAATGAGATTCCAACACATGGAGTTGTGGACTTGCGAGTGGAGTTTGGCGGACGTGACTTTGTTTTGAGTTTCGTTGTTGTGGCTGAGATGCCCTTCAATGTGATCTCATCGTGGGCGTTGGCTACCAAAGGTTGGGTGACTGTGCTGGCTGAGACCGATGAAGGATCGAAGCTTGTCTGCGAGAAGGCTCAATGTGAGATTGGCTTGCAGGTCGAGGACAGGTCGTGGTGGGCTGTCTGTAGTTCCGTGGTTGATCGGCCAAGTAGGTCTGGAAAGGCAAAGGCTGTTCCGATGGAGGTTGATGCTTGCGTGGCTGAGTTTTTGGAACAGATGTCCATGCTTGAAAGTCAGGACGCTGGTGAGGTGTCTGTGAGGTTGGCTACGGCTGAGGAGGTTGAACAGGTATCGAAACGAATTCCGAAGAGTGTGGAGAAAGCTGATGTGTCGTCCTCGAAACGAATTCCGAAGAGTGCGGAGAAGGCTAATGTGTCGTTCTCATCTCCAAAAGTTCAAACGTTTAGGCCGTCCAGTGGCTCCATGGGATCGTATTCGTATTTGGTTCGGGTGGTTGAGAGCGAAGCTGTTTTTGCCGCGCCTGTCTCTGGCGTGAGTGGGATTGAAGTGTCTGTGGATTGCCAGGGGAGCGTGTTTGAGCGTGAACACGGCTCTCGAGCCGACATGGTAGGTGGTTGGCTGTGGGACCTCAGTCCGTGTGGGAGTTTGGAACTTGAGCTTGAGAGTGTTGAGCCAGCGTATGCGGTGCAGTTGAAGAGATGCGTAAGCGGTTGGTTGTTTGTGCTTTGGATGTGGTTTGTCCTTTTGAAGAGTTGTGCACTGTTTTGGTATCTAGAGATGCTAGGATGTCGTTGGCATGTGAGAGTCAGTTTGTTTTCTTTGATCCCCCATGCCTTCCGCGCCCCGTACGGAGTGAGAAGAGCAGCGTTTGGTTTTGGGATGAGAGGCGATTCCGTGCTCAGTGTCACTGTTGTCGGACATGGACATGAGACTCAGTGGATGATATGGGTGCCAGTCTATTTAGGTTTTCGACCGTTGCTGTGTCGCTCAGCAGTCAAGAGAATGGGTACAGAAGATGTTGACGATGCAGCCCGGTCTGGGCCGCACTTTCGGCACCACAGAGGCTTAAAAACAGATATATTAAATATATCTGCCGTTTTTGAGGTGCTAATGCAGTTGCAGTCATGTCATGAAATCCGCTTGGATCGTGAGCCAGGGTCCGGGAGCCTCGTTTGTGAGAGAGTTGACATGATCCGTGGACTACCTAAAGTAGTAGATGTTGAGGCAGAAGGTGAAGGTGTAAGAGAACGAGAGCCGTTTGATCCGTTTGCGGATGACCCGTTAGATGGGGAGTACACTCCAACGGAGGCACCAGGTTCACCAGAAGGTTCACGTGATAAGGATCTAGATGTTCCGATTGACGTGGAAATGAGTGAACAGTCGGAATTTGAACCCGAGCTTGTATCGCCGCAGTTGGAAGAGAGTGTAGCTGCGTACGCGCGTCATTGTTCAACAGGCCATTGGCCTTATAGTAGAGACTGTAAGTCGTGTTGTAAAGCTCGTGGTCGTATGCCTGCTCGCCGTCGTGAGAAGGAAGAACAGTTTTCTGTTGGAGTTGATTTTCTCTTTTTTGGAAATAAGATTCGTGTGTTCTTGGCCGTAGTTGTAAGTACACACATGATGTTTGCGCACGTGATGCGCCCGTCATACCACCGGAACGTGTCCGCGATCTCAGCGGGGATGGCGGAGATTGGGGCTACGGGCCAAGAGATTGAGTGGGTTGGAGATCAGGAAGATTTGTTGGAAAAGTTGTTGAGAGATGTTGCAAAGTATCAAACTTTTCCCGGCATTGGAGCGCATTGGAGACATGCCCCCGTTGGAAGAAAGCAGGGTTTGGTAGAACGATACGTTTGCATTTTCAAAGAGGGTGTGTTTTCGATTTGGATGAGCATGGAGGACATGTTAGGGTGTCGGGTGGCTTTGGAAAGTGACCTTTTTAAACTCTGTGTTCAGTATGCCGCGAGAACTCACAACATACATAACACAACTCGATGTTCCAGCGCAACCCCTCTGGACCGGATGAGAAATTCGAGTGAAGCCCCAAAACCGTCGACGTATCCTTTCGGGTGCTTGGGAAACGCTGTACCGAAGAACAAGGATGATCCTAGGTTTCGAGGTCAAAGGCTTGTTCCTATCGTGTATTTTGGACCACTGCGTTCAACTGGAGCCGGAACTTTAGGGATGTGTTTGGAACGTTTTGACGACGCGCCCAAAGTTGAAGAGTTTGGTAAGTTTAGGATGCAGGTTGGGGAACAAGGGAATCCTTTTGTGATGAGTCGTGAAGCCCTTGAGCCTGTTGCGATTCCTAGAGCACAAGTTGCCCCTCCTGTTGAAGATTACCCCTCTCAGCCGCCTGCCCCGGCCGGCCTGCTTAAACGACGTCGGGAAGAAGGTTCTAGTGTGGAGCCTGAGCCTGTGACGGTGGAACCTGTTGTAGCCGCACCAGATGTTGAGATGGGAGCATCAAACGTACCTTCAGAAATTGGAGATGAGAGAATGGAATTGGACATGTTGATTGTGAATTGGCATGAAGCAGAACGCGAAAAGTTTCTTTTGAGAAATTTTGATGGGATGCCTTCGGTGTCAAAGGCTTCATGTTACAAAGTTGTTGAAACGTCTTTTTGTGGATTGAAGGTAGAGGTACCGATTCCGCATGATTTGAGAGACGAAAACACAGGTGATGCTCTGAGTCCGGAAGAAGTGTATGCTGCGGTACGGGTAGAACTCGACTCGTTGACCGCCCTTCGGGTTGGAAAAGGAATCCTTGAGAAAGAAGCGCAAAGGGTAGCCAAGGAAGCAGGGATTCGAATCTTGTCATCGCGTTGGGTCCTGACCCAAAAGTCGGAAGGACTCGCTCGGGCCCGTCTGGTTGTCAAGGACTTTAGGACGTATGGAAAAACACCAGTTTTGGAAGGTATATATTCCCCTACTGGAAGCATTGAAGGTTTGAGGATAATGCTGGCCTTTGGAGAGTATACAGCGTGCTTCTATGGAACCTTGGATGTCTCGACGGCATTCATGTTTGCAAATCTCCCTCAGGATTCATTGGTGCTCGTTCGGATGCCTCCCAGCATCCTTTCCCGAAATCAGAGGGTGACTTTGGTTCTTTGGAAGGCTATGAATGGTCTTAGGGAAGGACCGCTTCGATGGTACACCGAGCTGACTTCAGGGCTTGAAAAGGATGGCTTTCAGGCAACTGCGGAGGTCACGTTGTGGCGCCGCCAGGAGGGAGATGGATCGGTCACTAGTGTTTTGATCTACGTTGATGATTTGCTAGTATCTAATCCGAGTAAAGAGAGAGTTGAAAATGTCATGGTGGTGTTGGAAGGTAAGTACAAGGTAAAGAGAACGGGTTGGCTTTCTCAGGAGAATCCGGGACAGTTGAAATTTTTGGGACGTTTGTTGACCAGAGAGTGGGCGTATGGACCACTCACTCTGGGATTGTCGGAAGAGTATGTGGATGAAATTCTGCATGTATGGAATGAGAGATTGAAGCCTACTGAATCTCTACCAAAATTGGAAGACCTTCTGAAATCAGAAGAGAAGAAAGAACACGCACCATTGACCGCTGCGGCAGTTGAGAGATATAGGAAGGTTTTGGGCATGCTGGCTTGGGCCTCGGTATCGCGATGCGATTTGTTGTTTGTTGTGGGATTCCTGTCTCGAGGACAGAGTAGTCCTACTGGACCGTATGAATCGTGTTTGAGAGCGGTACTGAAATGGATTATGACTAGAAGAGCTGTTGTCCAAACGTTTCCTGCATCAGCGCCACCGTCGACTGTCTTAGAAGGGGAAGATGTGTTGATAGGTTATTGCGATGCCTCTTGGAACAACCCGTCGGTTTCAGGAGGAGGCATTAGCTGGAACGGTCATTGCTTGAAGATGTGGTCCAGGAAGCAATCAGTGCCAGCTCTATCATCGGCAGAAGCAGAACTCGCGTCGATGGTGGAGTGTTTGAAGGAACTCATGCATGTGGGGATTGTGTTGCAAACTCTACGTCAAGGTATCGTGTATGATGCTCAAGGAGCTCCAGAGAAAACGACGCATGACATGAAGATGGTATTGCATTGTGATTCAACAGCTGCAAACTCGATCAGTGGGATGATTGGATTGTTGCGGAAGATTCGTCATGTTGAATTGAGGGCAGCCTTTTTGCAGTACTGCGTTCGTATTCGAAAAGTTAAAGTTGTTTTCTACGAAGGAGCATTGCAACCGGTCGATGGCTTGACCAAGACTCCGAGTGCCGTGATGTTGAAACATTTAGGAGACTTTGTGGGTTTGGAAATTGTTCGAAGTCTCTTGAACACTCCGGAGCCCGAATGTGATTCATGGATGGAAGAGGATATGTTTGTGATTCGAGTGCATCGTGTACCTCGTTCGGATTTGTTTGTTCCAGATGAATTGTCGGAACCACCTGTTGCGTTGGGTAGGATTGGAAAAAATTCGTGAAACCGTTTGTGTCTTTGTAGATGGTGGTTCACCTATAGTCATTCGAGATGAATGGAGGGAATCGACCTTTCAGTTGGATTCTGGAATGAAACGGATGTGGACGGGAGAAACTCGTTTTGAGCTTCTAGAATGCATAGATGCCTTGGCTGACAGTGTTTCGAATGCGGCGAACCAGAAAACAGTGACATTTGAGATGTCACCAATTTCGCCAGAGCCTGGAACTCAGGACAGTTTGGGAAAGGAGAGTTTGTTTATGGTGAGTTTCCGTGAATCCATGGAGAAAGTTCAAGAATGGAAGAAATCAGTTGACATGCTATTTGGGCCAAACTTGCCTAAATTAGTGTTCGTTGAAGTTTGTTGTGCAAAGATGTCGTCTGTTCAAAAGGTTTGTGATCGAAGAAACCAAGAAGGGGATTCGATTTGCTATTTTGGAATTCATTCTGAAACGAACTTGACATGGAAACAGACTCAATGTGTTCTGGCACATGTCTTGAAGTTTTGCAAAAGGAAGAGACTTCCAGTCAGAATTCACTTCTCGACACCTTGTACATCAGGATCACCGTATATATTTTTGAACAGTGCAAGAAATTCAGGATATAAGAAACGTTTGAAGAAATTGCAACGTGTGCATAGAGATATCTGGAAGATATGTAATTCGCTGTTTGGACCGTTTGCTGGCTTGAGAACTTTTACCTTCTCGCAGGAGTGGCCTAAACATACGCTGTTGTGGAAAGATCCAATCTACGTTCGAAATGCTTCGGTATTCGGCATGTCATTTGAAGAACAGGTAGATCGATGTGCATTTGACAAAGTTTTTCATAGATGGAAATTCATGTGCTCGACCGATATTGGAGAAGACCTTGGAGGATTCTTCTGTATGCATGGGCCTCAGGATCATTTGAAGATGGATGTTACTTCGAAAGGATTTTATCCAATCGGATTGGCACGCCAACTGGTCCAGAGTGCTTGGAGAGCGGTTGAGGGATGAAATTCAGTTGCAGCTAGTGTACATTGATGTTGATATGTTTACGACTATTTCGGCAAGAAGGGGTGTGAAAAATAACGTTCCTAGGATGCCTCGTAGTCGTCTAGTACCGTAGGTTACAATAAGTCCGTTGCTTCGCGTGTAGCAGGCGTTTGTAGCCTACGTGTGTAATTCATCGCTGTAGACGTCGGACCGTGTAGGATCGTGCTGTCCTAAGTAATTTCCATCTCGGTGTGTGGAGATTCGATAGAACTCGGAGTTTCTCTAGCGCTGATATATGGCACCTTTGGTGCCTGGAGAATTATGATGTTCTAGATGGTGTTTGCTTGTGCTTTAGGACTTGGTCGTGGTGCTTGCGTTGCAGCATGATTGGTTTGCATGTTTTTGGAACTGACTTCCTAAGTTGGAAGATGACTTGAAGTTGATTTGAGAAGCTAACGTGCTCTTGTGCTTGAGATGTTTTTGGTTGGTGTTTGGTTTTGATGTTTTGGAGACATGTGAGATACCGTATGTAAAGTGGATAGTTTCGTTTGGAAGTGTTTAACGAAATAGTTGATGTATTTTTTGGCTTAAAAGGGCCTGGGACTGGGAACTAGCTTCGGCGCGGAAACTTCCGCCTGGCTTGTTTACCGTCGGTCGCCGTTCGGTGCTCTGTGCGAGGCGCAAAGAGAGCTTAGCTGTAGCCCGCGGGGCGACCAGAGATCAAATTAAAGAGAAGAAGAAAAAGGAGAATATATAAAGTGCGAACTATTGTGTTTAAGTGCACAGTACTGGTACGCGTGCTCACTAGACGCTTCGGCGTTTTACAGACGAAGCCACAGAGGACGAGGCCATGAACGCTGAACCCAGCTATGCCTTTGCCAAGGGGTATGGAAGGTTTGGCATAGGCTACACTAGACAAGCAACGGCGCTTGGCAATTTCGAGCAAGGGGACATGGGAGCAGAAAGCGCAGTGGTAGCTCAATGGCTGACCTCCAGGCTAAGAATTGCCATGTCTCGCACAGGGTGGAACCTGATATCCACCCGTTTCAGCTTGACCAAGGTCCCTAGTGCTGTTCTCAGTGACTACCACCGCAAAGGATGTCCTTTCACTCCGAAGATGGCAGATCGGCCTTACAACCAATATGAGACGATTCACTGCTCCGAAGAGAAATGGGATCAGCTCTGTGGGTGGCTCACTGGGAACCCCACGTTCAGACTCCAACTCGCGAGCCATAAGCAGGCACTTAGAGACCACATGGGCTGCAGTCAGGAAACCACCGATCCAAGTAACAAAGCCCGCCGTACTGACCCCCCTATGGAAGCGGGAAGCTCCTCAACTGCAGCAGGGTCTTCCTGGCACAGCAAGCCTCCCCCACCGCCTTCGCCCTCAGGGTGGTCCTACGGGTGGTGGCAGTAGTGTAGTCGTCATCAGGAGTCTTCCCACACAGCAATTGCCTCCGTGTCGCTCAACCTCCGCCATGAGATGGGTGACCTTAGTCACCTTCTCTATTGTGGCCTAGTTGCCACTATGGCCTTGCAAAGGACACATCTCCTGTACCTCAGTTGTTTGGCTCAAGCAAACCAAGCACCTACATAGCAATGCCGCCCCCCCAAGATCGCCATGAGGTCAACCTCGAGTTGGTTACCGTAGCTGGCACGGAATATGCGATGCAAGCAAACCTCTCCCATTATGAAGACGTGGCAGAGCTGGAAGACGACATTCTTTGCTTTCTGCCCACAGTCTCACTTAGAGGTGTTTGGTTGTGAATTGGAATTGCTCGACCTTCGCGAGCAGCAACCTCTGTCAGAGGCATTCCGCATGGTGCTCCTGCAGCGGCCGCAACTGCAAATAGCAGTTCGTTCCTGCAGGTAGAAGGGCATTCCATCTGGCAGTTCCAGGCAGACGGCAAAGAAGGCTACCCCACAGCAGTTCGTGTCCCAGCCAACCCGCGAGGGGAAATTGCAGACAGAGCATTCTACGCTGCACCTTCGATCCGGCACGTAGAAGTGTCAACTGGCATCCAACATATGGAATTGCGGCCTGGCAGAGTTGCCAGCAACTACAGATTGTCAAGCTTCCATCTTCGGTCATAAGTCTGGCGGAAGGGACCTTCATGGGGTCCGTAACCTTTGGCTCAAGGCGTCTCGGCTCAAACTCGCGGCAAAAGCCGTTGAGCTAGGAGGTTCAAGACTACTTCTTAAAGAGAAGAAGTTTTCTCCGGGCTGGCACGCGTAGCTAGGTTCCTCTCACTCTGAGCATAGGGTCTTTGTTTGCTTTGTTTGCATTTTCATTCGTTTGCATTTTCATTCGGTGTCCTTAGACACCGTACAATTTCAAGTGGGGTCCTTAGACTCCATTTGATTGCAACTTTGGCCACGCCTTACCCTACAAGCACACTTGAAGGGTGTCCTTAGACACCATTCGAGTTTCGTTATAGGCTCTACTTGTCTCCTTGATGGTTTCTAAAGAAGTCTCTTGCGCGATCTCTCAATTTATCTACGATGATATTCTCGATTCATTTGAGGCAAAAGGAATTTTCTCACAGCTCAGTAGACTCTCCTTAGCTGCATCACCACGCATCTTTTTTCTCTGTCGTTTTCCTAGCATGATCAACACAGTTCGTTTTAGCCGAAATCTCTTTATAGTTGGTGAAGATGAGTACAATAATGTTTGTGCTGCCGCTTCTGGAAGTCATCCAATAGACATTGTCATTTATGGAATACAGAGTCGATTGCAAGAAATCATCTTGCAACTCTACCACTCAGGCACTCAACTACGACATGTGCTTCTTTTTCACGAGTGCACTTTGAGTGCTACTTGTGTTGACCTAACGATTGGGGTCTGTACTTCGCTAAAAAGACATCGAGCTCACATACAGCGAATTAGCAAATATAAAAGCTTTGAATTTGCACAAAATGGAGGCTCGCGCACCTTTACCAAAGCTACATATTTCGTTGCGCTCAATGCCACTTGCAATGTAAATAGCTTTGAAGTCTTCTCGCCAAGTCTGGAATATGCAGAAACATGGCTTTGTTCCAGCAAGTCCCTCACGTCACAGATCCAAGCTGCAATTACTGCCGTGCCTGGAGTTTTTCGCTTTCGTGTTTATACGCATGACCCCCCTCTCCATACAGAGCTCGGAGCGACAGATCGATGCTGTGTCACTTTTGGCGTTGCCGAATCAGAAGTTCAAACTGTGACTGATTCCCTGGTGTCAATCTATGCTTGTCTGAGTCAAGACGTTGCCTCCTCTGCTCAGCAAGACCTCCAAAGGGTGATTCCACTCTTTTGGAATGTACGTCCTAGTGATGCCCCCACTTTCTATTGCTTTCGCACTGTCACTTTTCTAGACATCAGATCTTGCACGCAAGAGGAAAGATGGCAACTTCAGAGCATCTTGATTGACATGAATATTCCATACTATATTCAAAAAAGATTGCTCTTGGTCATCTATGCTGAAGGAACTGAACTTGAAAACTTCAGGCTCAGAACCTTTCAAGAACAGATTAAGATTCCTTTTGGCAAAGAAGAAGGTAGCCTGCAATGTTCTTTCACCGCGGGAACCGATGAAAACCTTTGGACTGTTGATATTTGTACGACAGGAAGTAACACTCATGAAGCTTTTCAGATTGAGGATGATGGATCTCTTATGATGAAAGATGGAATCGTCGATGTAGAGTTTAGTAAGAAGCTACAAAAAGTCTTGGGAGCTATACAGATCCGACCCGCCATAGTGCATGTCCAAGACAAAGGCCAACAGAAAGTTGTTGCCTTTTACGCATCACCTACATTATTCCCGCGAATACCTAGCACTTTCGTTGACCACAAGGCTTGTAACAGAATTGTCCACTACAAGCAACCTGATGTCCATACCACTGAAAGGACCTCCAACATTTATGTTAAAGAAACCAAAACTGATCATCATGTTGGTGCACATAACAAAGGACTCTGTCAGGGTGCTCGACTTAGTGGATTCTTTCCTCTGCCAGGTAATAGCATGTCACGTAGAAGATTTGGGCAGCTACAAGTTTTTAGTTTTGAAATTGGCAAGAAAGATGTAGCCGTCGATCTTCTTGATGAGATAGTTCCAATTTGCTTCATTGAAGCTGAACTCTCCATGAAAGAGGCCTCTTACCTTCTTGATATTCTTATGAAACAAAGGCATCTCCTTGACCATCATACGATTTTCCTCGAATGCACTACCACAAAGCCACCTCTCCAACTGCATAAAGAAGATGTTATCACTACCTTGCCGGAGCATGAATGTATTATTCACTGCCAAATTGAACCTGGTCAGAAGCTACAAGTACTTCAACCACGTTTTGAAAGAGGCAAGGTCTCACGGTGCCTTAATAATGCACTTGAGCTTAGTGTCTATGACCGTGCGAACCTCATTCTTTTCTTACCGGGTCAAATGGACATTCATGATGTCTTTGGGAAAGCACCTGTTGGCCGTATCCTGTCAATTTGGTACAACAGTCACTCTTCGCACCAAAAGCATGATACAAAGCCCACTGCAACAAAACAGTCGGCAAATATTACAGGCAGCAGCCCCCAATGTAGCATAAATGCCCAAATAGATACCACTTTCACTGGTGAATGTCGTGACAACAAACAATCGCCTGCTCGTTCGATCCCATCTTCATCTGACCACAATCAAGATGCAGTCAGTCCTCTACTGACTGAGATTGATGCTACAGGGTCTACATCCCATGAAGAAGAAATAACACCAAAACAGGACTCTGACCCTTTGTTCAAGGATTGTGATGAACATCAAGCCGCAAATCAAGGAAGTCAGGTTAGTCCAGCATCTCCCTTGCGTCAAACTTCTGGAACACCTGCATATCATTTGGCAAGCAAAACTTGCATTCCCAATATCCAATATGATCCCTATTCAGTAAATCAAGCAATGCAAGTCGACGAAAGCTCTGCCTCGCGCTTTGCTCACAGAGAAGTAAAGCAAGATTGTGCCGATTATCCAAAAGGAGTGCAACAATCCCAATCATACTCTACCGAGAGCCGCCAAGCTAAAGAGCTCCCTGAAGAAAAGGTTATTGTTCCCTTTTCCTTCAAAGACTGTACATCGGACAATGAAGCCTCACAGCTTTCAACTGATTCATTCTGTGAACAGGTATACCAAGATTTACAACAGCAATTAGAAGACGATCCAAAGAAAGAAACAGGCCATAGTGCCCTCTTTTGCTGTCCCGCTACACAACTCTGTAGCAGCACTAGCAATTCGTGGTCAGGTCGGTGGAGGTTGGACACCAACAGGCTAATGGCACCTTCCCAATCATCGCTGGTCATTACCGTTTCAAAACGAATCCAGGAGGCCAAGCGCATGGGGGCAGCAATTCGGTCCCGGCGAGGAACCACCTCTGGGTGTGTGAGTCGAAACACACTGTTGAAGTGATTACAGACAGAATGCCTGCCACAAAAAAAAGCCCAAGTGACCTACGCCAACAGCCAGTCAAGAAACCCGCTGCAAAACCTACCCCCAAACGAGGTGATGGCCTTAGTCATCGTCTTGTAAAACGGGGTATCAACGCTCAACATGCCTCCGATTGGGTTACCAACCAAAACCCAATTAATGGAATCCTCCAAAATAAACGTCGACAATCTTATATTCACCAGATACAGCAGATGATCAGCCAGGATGTCTCCTTGCAAAATATGGATTTTCAGGATGAAGACATTCAACGAGCAGTCTCCTTGTATGAGAATCTCAATTCCACTGCTTGTTACTATACGGCTGCACTGCGCATTGTATCCAAGGCTAATTGGAACAAACAAGTAAACTTTGAAAATCACATTGGTCACAGAGC